GCATGTATTTTTCTGAGAACTGTAAAGATTTCAGTCTTGCCTTGCTGTCCCTGTTCACCATGACTCTCCACGCAGGATGCTGTTAATGAAGATGGTGAAAGGGTTAACAATTTTAAACTCTGGACATGCGTGCACAATTTTCTCTTTCTGATGAAATGAACATCCAGCTAGGAATCTCAGTAACGGCCTGAATATCCTGTATTTTAACCCAAGCGTCTTGTAAAGTTGTCCTTTGTGTGAATTTCTGAGGTTTCTGAGCAAAATGTTTGTTTGTTTTTTCATTGAACTTGACTCAAGGGAGCTGGATTATTATTCTATGACCATATCTCACTCATCCTTAAAAAATGGATCAAACCTACAGGTTTAAATTCACATTGTGTGTGTGGGAGGGGGATATTGAAATTCTGTTGCTGCATTTACTTTGGATCTTAAGAGATCTTTAAATTCCATGACACACAGAAAACAGAAACACCTTGCTGCAGAACTCAGAGCTCTGCAAATTGCCTTGTAATTACCGGTGAGGAAAAGGAAGCAGTGAGATAACTTGAACGATGACATGGGAATAGGCGATTAGAAAGGAAGAGAGATTAGAGAGGATCCTTCCAGCCTGCATCAGCTCCTTCGCAGTGTGGTTCAAATCCCAAATGAGACACCAGCTGAGCACTGCTGCGCCCTTGAGAAAGACTGCTCCAGGCAGAAGAATGGGCCACAAAATGTGAACACAAAAAAATATTGTAATGCCTGTAACTCAACTTGAAGCGCATTTTTAATTCATGAAAAAGTTTCACAGTCCCTAAGTTAATAAGTACTGCGCAGATCCATGGACAATGAAAGTTATTCTATAGCAGGACATGAAGAGGGTGGATCTTCACTATGAAGAGGAAATGAATGAGAAGACATCAAGACACTGACTCATCAGTCTCCTCAGCCTGACAATGTAAGGAAGTATCCCCAGTAAAGGGCAATGGAATTGCAGATACTTTGCAAAAATTCTGTTCAGAATGGTTTAAACTGAGTGATGTGATTGTCTTGTTTATCATACGACACTCCAAACTGCTCATCTCACTGTAAGAGGGATATGGCTTCCCGGAATTAGAAAACCAGGATTTCCCCAAAAGAGCACATTAACAGATGCCTGCAGGTAGCATGCATGAAGGAAAGTTTTGGGAACTGAGAACGAGTGATTCCATCACCGTCACCACATCACTGCGATTTTAAAATCTCCTACGCAGATATTTTAGCCTAAGTGTAAGTAGTGCTAAGGGACAAGCTTTTGTTTCCATTCAAAATGGGAGCAAAAAAGCTCTACATTATGATCCCAATACACAGCCATTTAGTTAGAGGAATCCTACTGTGAAAATGCCTGAGCCAAGGGCAGCAAAACAATTTTAGACCCCAAACTCGACTGGGTCAGTGTCCAGTGGCTTGGGTCAAGACCTTTACCCTGTGCAGCTGCTAAAAGGTATCAGGCTAATAACAGCAATGCTAATTGCACAAACCCGCTGGTCACCGACCAGCCACAGAGGCGGCAGTCATGTGGCAAACTGAGTGATTCTGAAGTGGTGCTCTTGGCCTGTGGTCAGATCCAGCCAGTGACATGCAGTACAGAAATCACTGGTTCATGAGCAAGCCCCAAGCTAAATAGAGATCAATTAGTCACCTCGATATACAGTACATAACATTATGTGTGGCTTTACTCAGCCTGCAGCTAGGGTTTTAGACATCTGTTTTACATAAACACCCCTAGTGGATATGGTGAGCCCACACAAGTTGACAGACCCTCAACCTGTTCATCCCTGCCTACTGAGGCAGCTCGAAGACCGACGAGGTTCAGAAGAACAGAAAGTGAAGTTTATTTACTCCTTCCTTTAAAATGGCCGCAAAAATCTTCCCGAAACTTTGGGCTGTTTTCACAAAGAAAAAAGCACATTCCATTTCCAAATCCTGATTTGAGTCAGCCTAGGAGACAAGACAAACCAATCCCAGGACCACTTCCATTTTCATTTATCCACCATGAATTAAAAACGGCATCATCCAGAAATTAATTATCCATGATCATCACATTAGGACTACACAAAAACAACAGCAGCCAGCCTGTCTGATTAGTTCCTACTAATCACCACTGCTGTATTAACAGATGTCCAGGAGCAGACACACCTGACTTACCTGGTATCATGAAAAAAGAAAACCAAAACTGGAGCATTGCGAAAGTAAAAACTTGAATGAAACAGGTTATGCCAAAAATCAGGAACCGACAACCTACACAATAAATTCCAAAAGTACTTCAAGTTTCAGACACCTCTGACAGCTTCAGCTTCACAACCTCACACTGGCAGCTAGAGACAGCTTTCGCACAGGCAGGGGAGAAGAGATCGCAGACAAGCTGCAGGTTACACTGGAAAAACTTTGCCGTGTCAGGATCGATTTGGAGTCTGACACAGACCTGACGGCTGCAATGGTACTGTATGCATTTAAAGGCTGACTCAGTCCTTCACCCAGAACCACACACTGTGGGAACATGCAGCCTCCCCCACACAGGTCCTTCAGTTCTCTCCTTCTCAAGCAAGAGGAGGGGAGAGGCTGTCACATGCTGAAAGGCGGGCAGATGTGATCACCAGTACTCGAACGTTTGGACAGAGCAGAGAGACGACAAAGAGTTTGCCCGGCCCCAGCCCCGGCGAGCCGACAGTCATCCAAGACTGTGATCTATCGGCATGTGATCGTTTATTTTCCCTGCCTGACTACTGCATGCAAACCGCTCCTATGTCCTGGGACCTAAATCAAACTTGAGGATTAATAGTTATGCACCTTTTATCTACAAAAAGCGAACCAGGATACATTGCATAGCATTCTCGACCACAGAAATGCACAGAACTCTCTAGCTGCAAACAACAAACAATTGAACTTGCTTCTGCTTGTGCAGGCTGGACTTGTCCTTTACAATGTGACTTTGTATTTTTGATGCCCTTATCCTCCATTATATTTCAAATCTGTGGGTGAGATTCATTAATCCCGTTTCTGGTCAAAATACTTGATTTACTTGACCTCCAGGTTTAGAATCTCAGTTTGAATAGTACCGTCCCACCAGTGACTCGAACTAATAGCTGCAACTGAGATTTGGGAAAATCCCTCGGCTTTTGTTTCAGCTTTTGTACAGCAATTTGATTCACGGGAGATTGTGAAGAAAATCCCAGAAGTGGCTGTTCTGTAACACAGAAGGAGTAAACTACAACAGGAGACGTAACCGGAAATTTTCAGAACCAGCCGGCAGTGGGCACTAGACATGAGATAACTCCAGTAAATCAAATAAAAACAGCTTCATAACAGGGAGTGGTGGCTAAGGCCACTCCTTAATTAACACCCCACATCACAGCACCGACGTACATATACTGTCGTTGAATGTTTTTGCTCGTTGCTCAAGAAATGTTTTAGCTCCATTTATACAACATAAGTCACCTTATTGTCTATATCCTCTGAGATATTAAGTTGCTGGTATTTTGAGAAAAACATACTATCAAGGCTAACAATGAAGGACAGCACTTTTATTTCTTACATAACACCCCTTTCGGCTCTGCAGAGGCAGATGCCCAAATCGTGAAATGCTAACATTTAGAGATCTCAATCTAATCACACTTTTAAGCCTTTTCCCCAGAAAGTGCGAGCGAGATAGAGCTACACAAGGCTGTGTGGCAAGGGAAGACATCAGGGGCATGCATCTCTAAAGGAATTCCCCCACCTCCCCCCCACCAGAGACCCAGAGAAGTCGTTTCTTCGAATATACAACTCTATATTAGTCTTCAAAAGGACCTCCTGAAAATAACCTTTCAAGATATCAGATTCCAGCTTGAAATCTAACATGATGGCACCAGGAAATACAGCTAAGATGTGTCATGAAGTTTATATAGTCATATTCTTAAGACTATAACATTGATCTTCTCTAGAATAGTGAATATAAGCAGAGTACAAGCCCACGCAATAGACAGTGTGTCCCTAATACATTTGTTCTCATCTCCTGAGCTCAACAGAAGGGGGTTTTGTCTCTTACATGTTATTTCCCCGAGGGCTGAGCTGACAATTCAAAATGCTCTGGAAGAAAACTTTGTCCCAGTTAACATAATGCATGAGCGCCCAGATGTGTTGAACAATCCTCAAGGCTCAGTCAAGAAATCATACAGATTAAGAAGGACATAGACCAGGATCAGTGTAACACACTACCTAACCAGTGACAGTGAAGTCTGGTGCTGCTATCTTACTGTTGGAGCACAAGAACTGCTGGATCTGGATGACCAACACACAAAACCAGAAATGAAATGCATGATGGAGGCAGTCAAGCTTAGGGGATTGAATGCGACGGCACAAAGCCAGCAAGTCTACGAACGACACAGCTGTGAGCCTTGACCCAGGAGAATGATCAATGAATGGAGGAAGAGGTCCTACAGTACTACAGAAATACAGCACTGAAAATTAATAATGCATCTGTAAGTTTTACTTTAGTATAAGTTTCTGCTGTGCACTGTGCAATACAACCCCTGTCCTCTTTTTGTGTCATTGGAAGCCAACAGATTTTGTAAAAGACTGAGAAAGCGAGTCATTTTCTAGGCAGGGTTGAATTACAAGTCGGAAAAGCTCTCACTGAGGTTTAAAGGTGGGCGCTATCTCGATGACGTTTCAGAGATCAGCAGAAGGGACTCCCCTCCTGATGCTCCGTGGAAAACGTCTCGCAGCGGGGAGCGGACGTGGCACTTCTCCCAGAGCGCACCGCGTGTCGGGAGTGGGATTGTCCCAGTCACAGGACGTTCTCCAGCAGGGGTCTGGAGGGATCCTCACGGGTACATGAGCTCCAGAACCTCCGAGAGCCGCCGGGATGGGAAAGCGACAAGGAACACGGCCTGGCCTTTGCTTTTTTGGGGGGTGGGGGGGACGACGAGGGGGCTGCAGCAGCAAGCTCAAAGGCTGCTCGAGAAGAAGGGCATTCTGGGAGAGAGGGGCTCCCCTCCTACCTGGCCTTCAGCTCCTTGTACTCCTCGCGGACCTTGCCCAGCTCCAGCTGCAGGCGGGCCCGCTCCTTGGCCACCGAGTCCAGGGTCTTGCGCGCGTCGGCCAGCTCGGTCTCGTAGGCGGCCTTCAGGCCCGACAGGTCGCGGCTGATCTCCTCCTCGGACTCGGTGATGCGCAGCCGCAGCCCGGCGTTCTCCGCCTCCAGCGAGCGCACCTTGTCGATGTAGACGGCCAGCCGGTCGTTCAGGTCCTGCAGATCCTCCTTCTCCTGCAGCCGGGTGATGCGGGCCGGCGAGAGGGGGGTGCTGCCACCGCGGGTGGTGCGCTTCGGGCCGGGGGTCTCCATGGCGTCGGCTGGGACGGGGGGGGGGGGGGGTCCTCGCACCTGGCCCGGGGGGGAAAACGGAGAAGAAACGGGCTTTAGCGTCTGCCTTCGCCCTTGTTCCAGCCTGGGTGGACTCTCTTACCTTTCGCGTAACCTTTGACCTCCCGCTCCTGTGGCTAGGTGTGATCTTGAAATCGCCTCCCTCGCCAATAAAGGGAGGAGCGAGAAGAGGAGGAGGAAACGGGAGGACAGAAAACACGACTGCCGAGAAGACTTGTGCCCCGTGTTTCAATCAAGGGCGGAGCACCAGGTAGGAGACGTCCAGATCCCATACACCGAGGCAGAGGCTGGATTTGAACCGGGAACCTCCACCTCACACACCCTGCTCCTGTACACCTGGACTGCCATCTCCTAAATCAAACCTATGAGCTTCCCTCGCCTGCCGGCACTTTAAAATACTTCGACAGGGGAGTCCTTGAGCCCGCGATTTGGAATTTTGAAATGACCTCGACTTGGCTACCGGTCCCGCCTTAGCACAGACCGAGAGGGTTCAGTGGCAGGCAGCACAACCGCGAGGCAAAGACCTGTTCCACTGACTCATACGTCCGAGAAAAGCACCTCTATTGCAGCAGGGCAAAACTTGAGAACTGTTGCGCAGTGTGAAAAACCAAGCGGCTATAAAAAGCGTTTACCTTGCAGTTGAGTCGTCTGGGGGCAAAGTGTCCCGCAACTTGGAGCGAACTGGTCCGGAGGCTGGCGGTACTTTTGGAAGCAAGGCTGTGACTCAGCACGCAGCTGCTAGATCTCTAGTGAACTGGCTTCTCAAGATATGATTTCGCTGCTGTCTGCTGCTGCTGGCTGCTGCTCCCTGATCTCTCTCTCTCTCGCTCTGTCCTTCGCCTCCTGGCTCCAGATCCAGACTGCTTCTTGCTCAGCCTTTCCCAGCCAATGTATTTCTGGAACACAGAAAGAGTGAGGAGGAGGAGGGGTGGAAGAGGGAGGAGCTCCAGTAGAACTGAGTTTGCTCTGCAAGCCTGAAACAGCTTTCCCTGCCCTTCAGTGCACGCCAGCTTCTCAGTGGAGCGCGTAAGAAAGCTGTCAGAGGCTGCCAGTGAGGTGAAAAAACGAAATAAAAAATGCAGGAGAACCGAGTGAGGGGAAAGTACCTTGATTTTCTACAAGATAAAAAGTTGCCCCTGTAACTCCCTTGCCTTTAATAGTGCGCTTTTGGTCAGTGCCCAGGAGAGCTTAGCCCTCATCAAGAGGAAAGAGCAAGATCAGCATCCAACTTTCAGGGAAAATTCCAGAAGGATTTCTCCTCTCTTTCGGTTTTGCTTTCCAATTCAGATCAGGAAAACTGCGGCCGGGGGGGGGGGTTAATTTGGCCAGTCACGTGCATTTATATGGAAGAATTGTAGCAAATACTGCGTTGGAAAGTTCCTCACAAGAACAATACAGGATTCGGAGCCTCAATCCTGTGCAATAAGAAGTATTTTAGCCAAAGGTAAGGGCAGGATTTACAAACTACAATTAGAAGTATCTTCTAGGACGAAATACATGTTAACATGCTTTAAAAATAAGGCACTGGGTTTATTTGTGTCTTTTGAATGTGCTAACCGTATGCTGATGCGATCAGAAACTGCAGAAAAAGATTGTGCCCTTCACTGGAAGACTGCACTGGTGGACAGCGGGAGATGTATCTTTCATACAGCTGACCCTCAGCGGGGGTGTTTTATCTCATCTGGGAGACACCCTTTGCCAATTGAGAAAGGCACCCTTATCAACGGACAGACCAGAGTCCACAGGTCACGGATATCCAGAAATCATAAGGCTAAGACAAACTTTACTAGGTTTGTCAGAAGGAGCAAATCTCACCAGAAACAGATTCAACACGAACACGGCTCTTTGTTCTTTAGCTTTTAAATCCTTCATTTTTTGTCTCTGCTTGCTGTTAGCATTTTAAAGACATCTAAAAATGTTTGAGGCTCAGTTTTGCTCATGGCCTTCAAGGCCTCCACATGAAGCCTATCCCAGCAACACACGCATAACTCGCAGCAGGGCCAGTTTTCCCAGACGCCAAGTAACCTCCCAGCACATCACTGGAGGAAACCCACCAGGACATGGAAAGAACATGCAAACTCCACATAGACAGCACCTCAGGTACAGAACTGAACCAGGGCCCCAGCACTGCAAGGGAGCAATGCTAACCACTGCACTGCTCTGACACCTGTCTTCAAGGTATATTTTTAAATATTGAATATTTCACAGCACATTAACTTTGTGGATTTTTAGCAAACAGCATCAGCAAAACCTTTTCGCATGTAAAAGTTTCTATTTAACGTGCATGTTATTCTTCAAAAATATGCAGGCCATTTCTTTTCATACTTATAGCAAGGGCCAGTTGTTATCAAAAATCCCATTTTTTATTATTCCTTTATTTTACCTGGCTGATCAATTGAGAGGAAAGCGGTGGCACTGTGGCTAAGGATCTGTGCCTGTGGCTGGAAAGTTGCCGGTTCAAATCCCGCGGGCGGCAGAGGAATCCTACTCCGTTGGGCCCCTGAGCAAGGCCCTTCACCCCAACTGCTCCAGGGGTGCCGTATAAATGGCTGACCCTGCGCTCTGACCCCCAGCTTCTCTCCCTGTCTGTGTGTCTCATGGAGAGTAAGCTGGGTAATGCGAAAAGATGAAATGCAAGAAATTGTATAGGGCTAATAAAGTGATATTATCTTATCTTATTATCTTTTCCAAACCTCACCTTGCCCACACCTCCACAGTCTCTGCTCTGTCTTTTCACATCAGTGGGCCTGATAACTTGTCCACAGTTTCATTTCCCTATTTCACCTCATCACTCGCACTGCAAGATGTTTGAGAGACTAGATGGGCCTCTGGGTGTGCTCAACAGCCTCCTCGTTTGTGACTGTTCTTATGAAACACAGACCTTCTTGCTACACTGACGATTTTGATAGCGCTGTTTTAATGAGGGGCGGGATCCTTTGTGGCCATATAACTGGAGTGAAGGCACAGCTTCAATACTGCTTTTACATCAGCTTTCAAAAGCCTTTCGCGAATGAGGCTCTTATCTTAAACATCCCGGGCAGGAGAAAAATGTCCCAGGTTCGCCTCTTGCTTTGCTCCTTATCTATCCCAACAGCATTCCAGGCCCCTCATGGAAAATCTAGATCAGAAATCTGTTCTGAAAGGGACACCAGTGCTTTCATGTGCACCTTTTTTATTCCTTCCTGGCGTTCCTTGTCAAAGATTAGAGGTACAGATGTAGCATCTCAAGCAGGAGAGCTGTTCCCTTAGACAGCTGGCTCAGCTCTCTGGTCTAGAGGTCAGAGGTCAGAGCCCGAGGTACTACACAACTTTGGTCAGGACTCTCCCATGAACAACAGGACAAGCCCACCCAGGTTTGGGAAGGCTGAAGGAATTCCTGGCAGGGGGTTGTGGGTTCAAATCCCAGGTGGGTGACACAGCAGGTAGGTACCCCACTTAAACCACTCCACTAATCACCTTGCTGTAAAACCACATCTCCGATGGAAACGAGAATCTCCTCTCAATTGACTACCTGTTAAAACAAGTGAAAAATAAATACAGGAAATTTCCCCCCCATCGACGAGTGGCAATTCTTAATCGGCAAGGGGATAAAAAGACGATAACCTTTCGTCAAATGTCCGATTGGAAAATGAACTGCAGTTGATCGGGAGCTGAGGGAAAAACAGGGGGACAACTGGAGGAGTTTGGCAATTCAGCCTCTGACCCACAGCCATGGAATGATAAGGGTGGAAGCAGCATGCTAAACAAAGTGCTCTGTAATTGCTCTAAAAAAAAAAGTGAGAAGCCAATTCTAAAACCGTATTCTTCATTTCCGTTTGCCACTGCGTTATTAATGACATTTTAAGGAGCTTCGCCATCGCAGGAGTGTATCTGTCATAAGAAGAAAAAGCAGGCATTAGAGATCACACCCCTTCCTGTGAGTCAGCCTCCGCCTGCTCCATTTCTGCCGCCCATTGTTTCATCCTGTGACTTATTAACTGGACAGGAGCTGTGCACAGGTTGAAGGTACAGTCTGCCAGACCGTTTCTCAGGGATAAGGAGTTATCTGGCAGTAAAGGATTTAACCCTGTCTTTCTATCAGAGCCTTTTCCAAGCTCATTGGCTCACTGAAAACATAAGCTTTCCCCATTTTCAAGAAAAAAAGACTCAGATTATTAATTTGTTTGGTTTTAACCTAAGTGACTTACTTAGTGACCTTGCTTATTTAGATGGACCGAGTGGAGGCTCTGTGGCTAAGGATCTGTGCCTGTGGCTGGAAGGTTGCTGGTTCAAATCCTGCGGCCGGCAGAGGAATCCTACTGCGTTGGGCCCCTGAGCAAGGCCCTTCACCCCAACTGTTCCAGGGGTGCTGTATAAATGTCTGACCCTGCGCTCTGACCCCCAGCTTCTCTCCCTGTCTGTGTGTCTCATGGAGAGCAAGCTGGGGTCTGCGAAAAGACAGATTCCTAATGCAAGAAATTGTTTATGGCCAATAAAGTGATCTGATCTTGATCAGACAGATAAACCTGTCCTAGACACCACAACTCCATCTGCTCTTTTCCAGAACCATGGCCCAGTGACATGCTAGCTGAGCTCACGGAACCAGGTGAAAAGACTTGCTCTGTTCTAGAAGCAAGATCTCCAGCATCACTCTCCATCCTCAAGAAGAGCCCCAAGGATTCACTGTTTTATTTCCTTGGTCTTGGGGGGAATTTTGAAAATAATGAACAAATTGTAAGAGGATCAATTGGGACTTTTATCCTGCGGTGCATTTTAATGGCATAAATCATGACAATGCTTAATCAGACACTTCTTAAGCTGGCATTTACTGTACTATATTGAATCTAGTGGGAATGAGGGTTAAGCATCTACACTGCAAATGGGAAAGACATCAAAATTATAAGACATGAGTCTCCCAAGGATGGTTTTATGCCACAGCCAGGCTGACCTGATCACAGTCCCAAAGCCATCCTTTCTTAACAGATCCTGAAGATGCATGTAATAACAATAATATTATAATAGCATTATAATATAATCTTATATTACAAATGCCTGAGGCACATTCCTCACAAAAAAACAAGTCTAAAAAAATGAACCATGATAATACTATTGAGAACAGCAACTGAACATTTAAGTGAGAACTTTAACAGAACTGCAGTCAACACTTTTGATCACGATGATCAGGATCTTAATCAAGTCTTGAATTTTGCAAGAACAAGTTTTCCTGCGATACAAGATTTTTACCCGATGGTTATGGGAGAGCAGCTCAGAAATGTGTGATGGGTTGTGTCTGTCCAGTTGCTTCCTCACATAAAGGCCTTCACCACCCAGCACGAGCTGGGCACTGCCAGGGCTGATGCACGACACTGTGCACAAAGGGTTTAGCACCACAGAAAGAAATAAAAGCAAAAATGGCCTCATTCTCATAATGCTCAATAATTTGAGCTGCAGGGGATCCCAGCCGGACTGGGCTCTAGTGGGCCGATTGGCGATTTGAATATGGGCTAGCTCTAGGTTGGGTTGAGTCATGTGGGCTGTCATCGAGTGTGCCGCTTATTTTGTGCATGTGGGTGAGCAAACCATCTTTGTGTACTCGTGCACATGCACGTGAATCCTCAGAATTAAAGCCGCCTCAAAACGTTCAATTTACTCACAGTGGGGCATCTGGTGAACCCTTGTGAAGAAAGTGGTTTAAAAACATAATAGTATTCAAAGCTGAAGGACTATCTGGTTGTGGAACTTTCAGGAATAGATTGTTTCAGGATTTGGAGAGCTAAACTGGATCAACCACTCTCATTCTGAAGTAGTGTGATCCAGTTCTGAGCTGCAAGCTCTTACAAAAACATCGTACTTCACGAAGCACAAAAAACGAGGCACTTAATTGTGCCTGATTATGTAAATCTACTGGAGAAAATGC